GCTGATCTTCCAGAGTCACGTCACGTCTCAGCTGATCTTCCAGAGTCACGTCACATCTCAGCTGACCTTACAGTCACGTCACGTCTCAGCTGATCTTCCAGAGTCACGTCACATCTCCGCTGATCATCCAGAGTCACGTCACGTCTCAGCTGATCATCCAGAGTCACATCACATCTCAGTTGATCATCCAGAGTCATGCCACATCACAGCTCATCATCCAGAGTCACGTCACATCACAGCTGATCTTCCAGAGTCACGTCACATCACAGCTGATCATCCAGAGTCTTGTCACGTCCTGTCTGTTCCACCCAGATTATCAAGGTCAGTCCTTCGGTATCCCAGTCTGGTATCCAGTGTGAGGGATGCACCACTGGTGTCTGCACGCGCAGCTGGCATCCCCAAACCCACTCACTCTAGCCCTCCTTTTCCTGAACTGATTCCCCTGTCTGAAGCGTTTCCAATAATGGTGATTACTTTTTTGTGTGTTTGGGCTGCATACACCACCACAGAACCTCCTGACCATTATGGTGTCTCCAGAGGTGGCGGCTGAGGCTGCAGAACCTCCAGAGATGGCGGTGCTTGCTCCAGGTCCTCAAGAGGTGGCGGTTGAGGTTGCAGAACCCTCCGAGGCAGCGGTGCTCGCTTCGACTCCTGGTATGGTGGTGGCGCCCAGCAATACACTTTCAGCCTGTCATGTCACGGTCAAAGGAACCGTTGCTGAACTCTGTGCCTGTCTTGTTAAGGAGAATATTCATGAACTTTCCCTGTTTCCTGATGGTACGGCTGTAGAACCTCCAGAGGTGGTGGCATCCGCTGCAGAACCTCCAGAGCTGTCAGTGGTATCCACTTATAAACTCTCGTCCTGTTCTCTTCCAGCCAGGGAGGCCGTCTGTGATCCCTTTGCCAGTCCTGTAATGGCTATGGAGGCCGTCTGTGAATTCTCTGCCTGTCCTGTTCCAGCCAAGGAGGCTGCCTATGAACTCTCTGCCTGTCCTGTTCCAGCCAAGGAGGCCGCCTATGAACTCTCTTCCTGTCCTGTCGTGGCTACGGAGGCCGCTTATAAACTTTTTTCCTGCCCTGAACCAGCCGAGGAGGCTATCTCGGAACTCTCGACTTGTTCTAAACCCGTCATGAAGGCCAATTATAGACTTTTGTCCTGTTCCGATCCAGCCGAGGAGGAGGCCATCTCTGAACTCTCGTCCTGTTCTGAACCAGCCATGGGGGTTGGTTGTGAAGTGTCTGTCACAGCCCAAAACCCTGCCTGTCATGAGCACAGAAACTATTAATGCACCCCATGTCCTTCCTGTTAACCCTGTCACTGCCATAAAGATCATTCAGGAACTGTCTGCTTGTTCGGTTTCCCCAAGTGTGTCTAATTCTGAACTATCTGTCTTGCCAGTCTCAGTCAAGGAGTTAAATAATGAACGGTCTGTCCATACAGTGTAAACCCATGAATCTGTTCCTGAATTATATGTCTGTCCACTAATTTCAAGTAATATGTCTGATTTTGAATCATCTGTCTGTCCAGTTTCAGTCACTGAAATGTCTACCAGTCCAGTTTCTCTTAATCCATCTAATTTTGCACAATCTGTCTGTCTGTCCTACTCATGAGTCTGATTCTGAGTCATCTGTCTGTTCTGTTTCAAACAATGAGCTTGAGTTTGACCAGTCTGTCTGTCCCATTCCTACCTATGCAGTTGATTATGAACTGTCTGCCTGTTCAGTTGTCACCAGGGAAACTATGGATGAACTTTTTGCGTTCCCTGTCTCGGTCCTTGGGGCCGTGAATTCTCTGTATGGGTTGTCTGTCTCTGCTTATCCTAGGTTTCAGTCTCTGCCATGGTCTCCTGATCCACCTGTTCCGCCCTGGTGGGCTTCTGCTCCATCTGTTCCACCCTGGTGGGCTTCTGCTCCATCTGCTCCACCCTGGTGGGCTTCTGCTCTGTCTGCTCTGCCCTGGTGGGCTTCTGTCCCGTCTGCTCCACCCTGATGGGCTTCTATCCTGTCTGCTCCACCCTAGTGGGTTCCTACTCCACTATGGAGGTCTTCTGCTCTGCCCTGGTGGGCTTTTGTCCCGTCTGCTCCGCCCTGGTGGACTTCTGTCCCGTCTTCTCCATCGTGGAGGTCTTCTGCTCTGTCTGCTCCGGCCTGGTGGTCATCTGCTCCTGCATGGTGGTTTTCTGCTTTGTCTGCTCCGGCCTGGTGGTCTTCCTCTCCTCAGTGGTGGTCTTCTGCTCCATCTGCTCCGGCCTGGTGTTCTTCTGTCCTACTCTAGTGGTCTTCTGCTCCGCCGTGGGGATCTTCGGACCCGTCTACTCAGCTGTGGTGGTCCTCAGCTCCACCTGCTCTGCCGGCCCCACTCTGGCTTCCTGCTTCGCCGGTTCTGTCTTGGTGCTCTTATCACTCTGGACTGCAGTTCCCATCATCCATTGCACCAATTACACACACACAGCTGCAACCAATCTGACATGCTTTATAAGCCTGGGACTTCCTCGTTCTGATCGCCAAGTATTGTATTGCGTTTATCGCTCACCTAGTGATAGCTACTCTACGGAGCCAGTTCCCAGTCTTAGTTTCCTATTCTAGTTTCCAGTCTAAGTCTAGACACTTTGTGTTTTCCTGCCTGTTTACTGATCTTCTGCCCGTCTTGGAATTATCTCTCGTCTTGTTGTTTGGACTCTGTTTGCACCTCGCATGGATTATTGTTTGTCTGTTGGATTACCCATTTGCCTTGCCCTGTTGGATTACGCTCGCCGTCGATTGACCCTCGCCTGTTTCTGGATTACTCTTGTGTCTTGCCCATGATATACCTGTTTTATGACCACATCTGTAAATAAAAGCCTTGCATATGGATCCGCACGTCTCTCATCTCGTTCGCCCCATAACAGTTTAATTGGTATAACATGACATTTAGCTGTTAGAGAAGAAATGCGTAGTGGTATTGTGTGATAACTTAAGGAACCAATGAATCAGACTTTGCATCACTATCACACAGTGAGATTTGTAGTGATCTTATAAGACTGCTGAAATCGCACAGTCTGAAGTTGACATACTTTTGTACAAATAAAATATTGATATGGAAACACACGCAAATATTAGGAAGATAACGCTTGTTCAAAATACTCTTCCACAAACAGACTTCCAACAGCCGATACCCTGTTGAGAGAGAAGAAAAAAAATACAATAAATTATATATATATATATATATTTATTTTATGTATGCACATGCTGGTTAGGCATGTTTTGCAGCATGACAGCTGGTTTGAGCTGATCCTGAGCAGGAGCTAGTTGCTTAGGACCAGCACATGACCAGCTTTAACGAGCTCATGGCCAACTAAGGTCCAGCTTAAACCAGCTGCCATGCTTCAAAACATACCCAACTAGCATATGCATTTTCAAGAGGGTATATGGAGGGAGATAAATGCCTCATCCAAATACCCACACTTGCAGTCTTGGCCACTTGAGAGCATGTGCGCACAACAGTCCGCAAGACTGTACCAGGTCTTAAAAATGCCAAAGCGCAGCGCCCTCAATGCACACTAAATCCACACCATCTGAAATACTGCTCCAGTGCATTATTCAAGGCTTAGTGTATCCCATTATGCATCATTTTCTGGAATGTAATTGAGACTTTTTGCTGTGATCTTGGAGAAGTCACAGAAACATTTCCAAAGCAAGTTAAATATTACTATAACAATATATTACATATAATTTGGTAGAAAAAAACAAGTTTTGCCTTTTTTATTGGTTCAAAGAGGAGTAGTGTGATATTTGTATACAACATTTGCAACAGCTTTTTATCACTTAATTAGAAGTACCACAGATTAAATTGCATCATGTTATAGAGACTACTGAACATATTTAGAAACTGATTTTTAAAAAGGAAAGTATTTAAAATAAAAAAGCTATGTAAACACTTGCATTTTTACAACAATATAAGTGTGCCCCCTCAGGTGTGTAGAATGAAAAGTTATACACACGATTATGGTCTTCATCCTCACTTGAACACTTGAGCCAAATACAGGAAATACATAGTATGTAGTCAAGTGCATAGACCACAAGTTTGGGTATTTGTACAAAGCAATTGTTTATCAGGTACTCGGGTAACTAATGAAGAAACCTCAAGATCATTTTCCCCATTCCCCGGCATAAACAGGAGATCAATAAAGTAATTCCTAATCAATAAAGTAATTCCTAAACACAGGGCAGGTCAACATATGCAGGTAAGAATCCTAAAACTAATGTTGTAATCACAAAAGTCCACTGATGCGACTTGACTTTCCAAAGAACGTGGAAACTTATATTTCGTAGGAGATACCAATCAGATGAATGCAGGTAATAATTTACTACTAATAATCAACACAGCAAACAGAACTTTCACAGTCCTCAGAGTCCAAGATCAGCACGTAGGAGACAGGTTTAAATCCTCTCCAAGACAAACAGAAGATGAGTCGGTAGAATCTCCAAGAAGACCAGACGCTGACTATGTGTGAGAGGGCTGCTTAAGTGCAAGTTCAAATGAGGTGCTGATGAGTGCAGTGATCAGGATCAGGTGTGGATAGCTGTGGTAACAGATTGGCTGCATCCGAAAGCTGAAAAATGCTGCCTTAGAAGGATGCTTTGTAAGGTAGGAAGGCATCAAGGCACGTCCAAATTCAATGTTAGTTTCACTTCCTTTCTTCTGGTCATCTGATCAATTTTTGAAGGCAGCATATTTGTATTCTTTGCTGCCTTTGTTATTCCACAATCCTGTCTGTTCCATTCCGTGACACTGGTTTATTCACCAAGTGTATAGTTTAAATGCAGATATCGGCCACTTTTAAATTATATGTAACTTGTCATCAAAAAAATTGGATATAGTCAAGAAATCAGAATTGAGTTTTAAGACCTGCAGTGTAAATGCAGCTTTTTACATAATACTTACTGCAATCACATATATTAACATTTACATCTTTAATGTAGAAAACATTAAATTCCACATTCTTCAATTTAAAGCATTTGAGTTGTACAACCTGTTGTACAATATAATATGTTGTATCTAATTTGTAACTGGCAGGGAAAAGTACATGAATGAACAGATGCCAGTTAACAATATTAAGGATGAATGGGGAAACATTCATTAGAACTATTTCCCCACAGTGCTGTTTCACGAGTTCGCCTGCCCATTCAGTCCTGATGGTTAATGGTAAACGAACTTGGCTTGCTGTCCTCAATGAAGGTTCGAACCCGAGGCTCCACTTGAGCGCCGAGTTCAACCTCCACATTGTGGTATTACATAGAGGGATAATAACATAAATAGAGAAGGAGGTGGAGGGATGTCGGAAGAATTGACTTGTATGAATTTGCTTGTATAGGCTCGTAATGATGATTGACTGAAGTCTGAATGTTTCGGCTCCTCCTTGAACCTACGTTTGGAACTTAAGTTAACAGATGGATTTACTCACTGTAGAGTATTGCTGCTCTACAGTGTCAACTGAAAGGATTTGGGAGATATTGTCTATGCTTTTGCAACAAATAAAATGTTAATATTTCAAACATACAATCTTTGACCAAGATCCTGCTACTGAATTAAAAATGAATTATAATAACTGAACAAACTGATTCACTTAAATTGGTCATTCTAAAAGACCAAAAGTGTCAGTGTAAGAGAATGTTTTAGATTACAAATAACATACACAAATAAAGTAATAGATTAAAACAATCACAATGTGATGTAAACACAATGTAACACAACAATACTAATTGCTGGAGCAAATGCCTACTGTCACGGTACTGAAAAATACAGTTGAGTTAGCAGCATTGCTACTGTTACTTAGTAGCTCCACAACACTGTGCTGTATACTGTATTATTTCACTTACATGCATCAGCTTGTACATACAGTACACTGTTCAGAATGGAAAGCCATCATTTTCTTGACAGGAATGAAATGGAATGAAACAAAACTTCCACAGTATTTATTTCTGTTTGCTGCTCTTTAGCAATAATGGACAGAAGGGCAATTATATGTGTTTGCTGTATGCCAAAATAATTTGAACCACCTCTGGTTGATTTTTTATTTTTTTTTGTCCTTGTGATAGCTGAAAAAATACTAATACACAAATAATATTTTTCTTTCATGCTGAGACACATTATTGATTCACAGTTACTAACATTTCTGTCTGGGAGGCTTACACTAAAATACAACCCTCTTATTCAAGGTTTTAGCAACATTTTAGCAATTTTGCACTAATAATAGGGATGCACGATAACATATAAAAATATAATGATGATTATTAATCATCAATCT